AACACACAGGAAGAGACAATGGAGACACAGACCAAGGAGACACAGACCTTAAATACACAGAGGCAGCAATCAGGAAATAGGAGACAGGAGGGAAACACAGCGTGACGTGAAAAAAGGCACATACCTTTGACGTTGCATGACGTATTCCTCGTCCACACGTAAACGCAAAAAAGGAGTTTTAAAAAATCTCAGTTTTCGGTGATTCAAAGTAAAACAGGAAGTGACGGGAACACACAGACGTGGGACCAGGGCAGGCACAGACACACAGAACAGAAGGAGTACGAAAACCAAAACCTAAGAACAGAAATCCCAAACACTCGCAGCCAAAAACCACAATGAGAACAAGATAAAAAGTCCAAAACACCTGGTCAACAACCAGGTAGCCTAACAGTTACTCATTTAACTCTTTTGGGGGTTTGGTTTTTAGGAAGAGAGTGGCTCTGATATATTTATTATTACTTATTTATTAAAATGTAAAAACAACAAACTGAAATTGTGTCACATCTTCTTAATTTTGTAAAGCCACAGATTTGAACTTGTTTTCTCTCTCAGGCTCAGACCAGCACACATCACATCAAACTCTTACAGGTCAAGAAAAGGAGCTGTTGGACAGAAAGACATCAACTGAGTGGGAAGGATTTTGGGTTCCCAACATATTAGTAACTGTCAGTGACGTTTATATTAATCAGGCTGAACTTTAGATCAAACTGTTTTACTTATTGTTTCATTTGTGCTTTGCTCTGTTGTTTGTTTCCTGATCTTTTCCTGTCTTCTCTTATCAGACCCAATTCTACAGGACATGCTGTGGAAGTAAACAACAACAGTTTGGTCTGCATTTATTCAAAGATCACATCACACAGACTTCGTTTAGAGGATCCACACTGTAGATAGTCAAGTCTGCAAGTTTTTGAACAGTGCAATTTGTTTTGTGCCCAAATCATTTTGCAGGTCATCAGAATGATGGTTGGCAGTGCAAACATGGCCAATAATGACAGTTATTGGTCATGTTTGCACCCGACTTGTGTGTCGGGTCGTGGTCGGGGCTATTCAGACTGACAGTGGGACGTTGAATGTCACCTCTCTGATGGAGGCGGAGCCTGAGATTGTGGATTTTTCTTTTTGAATCATATTTGCATACAGTGTTATATTAATATAAGTGTTGTTCTCGAAATGTCATGGATGATAAAATATACTGTGATTTTTTTTTGAAGTAAGTTACCATTAATTGTTTTTTAATTTTGTAGAAATTAAATGTTTCTCAGTGGGTAAATTAGTATTTCACTGTCAAACATCAACTTATTCTTAGTGCTGAGTTTTAATTATTGATTTTCCAATTAAAATCGATTCATTAAATCCTGGATTGACTTTTAAATATAAATGTATTTTGCCAGAAACGCCAGAATCTCAGGTTGAAGCTTACAAAACTATTTCAACAACCACCAAACAGCTAAAATGAGAGAAACAGATTCCACATAAAGACAAAGCGCGAACCCGACGCGTCACGATCTGTAAGATGTCGGCTTCCTTTCAGCCCCGATGGCAGCTCTCAGATTCTGAGCTGCAGGTTTCGTCTCCAACCAAAATTCACTGAACCAGCAGCAAAAGATCCAAACGACGCTTCACATTTAATAAACATCGTCATGAACTCCGTCTGTCTTTGGCCGTTTTGCTTCTCTGTGTACGTCAAGAACAGTTTCCCATCTCAAACGGGAGCAGAACCACCTGCTGATCAACGCCGGGAAAACGAAGGAGTTGGTGGTGGACTTCCGGAGACGCAGACCCCCCACACTGACACCGGTGAACATCCAGGGAGTGGACATTGAGATAGTGGACTCTTACAGGTACCTGGGTGTTCACCTGAATAATAAACTGGAGCCACAACACTGATGCTCTGTACAGGAAGGGTCAGAGCAGACTCTACCTGCTGAGGCGGCTGAGGTCATTTGGAGTCCAGGGAGCGCTTTTAAAGACCTTCTATGACTCTGTGGTGGCATCTGTCATATTTACAGTGTGGTATGTTGGAGCAGCAGTTTATCGGCAGCTGAGAGGAAGAGGTTGGATAAAGTCATCAGGAAGGCCAGCTCTGTGCTGGGATGCACCCTGGACCCAGTGCAGGTGGTGGGAGACAGAAGGACTCTGGCCAAAATAACATCTCTGATGGACAGAGTCTCCCAGCCCATGCATGTAGATGTTGCTGCAGAGCTGCTTCAGTGACAGACTGCTGCATCCTCGATGATGAAGGAGCTGCAGGTCCTTCCTCCCTGCAGCTGTCAGACTGCACAATCACAACTGCTCCCAACAAACATAGATGTTTACATCAATGCTGTAACTGCAATAAGTTAATTAACCGATTCGCACTACAACCTGGTTTCCCTCTTATCTGTAGTTATTTAATTTAATAACTGTACAGTACTCTGTTTATAGTAACCATCGTCCTTAATGTAAATATGTAAGAAAAATTGTGTATGTTTCTGTTCCGTGTCCTGTTTGTTTGTATATTTGTCTTTTTGGCTGCTGTTACAACCAAATTTCCCCTTGTGGGACAATTAAAGGATTATTCTATTCTATTCTAAATCTTTCTCTGCATTAGTCGCTTGCTTATTACGAGTGTCAGACCAACAACACGTGCAGATGTTGGCAGGAAGCGGCGGCGCAGAGGGACCAGACTGAACGCCAGGCACAGGTGCTGGAGAGGCTGAAGCAGCGTGGACCTACCTGCGTTGTGTTCATTAACAGTCTGCTTTATTAAACGAGTCGTCACACAGATGAGCTGCAGTTTCCTCCCAGGCACAGCCCCTCCACTGCTGCACCAGTCAAATATTCATGTGTAAACTGATTTAAGACATTTGTTATGGAATAAAATGATAAAATCATGAAGCACAGCAGTGATGTTTTCTAGAACTGTGTGTAGAGTTTTGCTGCAACTCAGGGAACGACCATCTTTGAATCAAGGGGGGGGGGGCTTAAGGGGCATGTTTAACGCTCTTACAACGCTGTGATTGTAGCCACTCCCCAACTCTGGTTATTGATCAGTGGTCATAACAGGTTGCATATTGATGAACATGAAACTGACCTCAGTCCATTGTTCCTTCAGTCATTGTGCAAATGCAGTTTATCAGGTTGGAAACTTTAAACTGTGACCTGCAAACATACAGACGACCTCTGTTTGTGACCTTTCACACTCTTTGAGCCAAGGTCAGCCAATCACCACATCGGTTACAGCTTCAATTCAGTTTATGCTGCTTTACTTCGTTATTCTCATTAACAGTCTGCACTCATGTTTCTGATCTTGTCCGTCATGTTGCTCTCCTGGTGCAGTGATGCTGCCCTCTGCTGGACACAGTGGAACCACATCAAGCTCTAAGACTGAAAGTCTAACCAGTTCCTGCTTAAAGTATCAAATATTCAGTGAGAAGGTGAAACTATTCATGTGGTGCTGAGAGTCCAGGTGTCTCCATCCACAAGCAGAAATCATGAACCATCAGCATTAACATCAAAATATTTATTGGATGAACACGATTAAAATCCATCTCGTCCAATCAGCATGTAGAACAAAAATTACAATATATACACTCTTTTGTCTTTACAGCAGCTGGAGGCGAGCAGCCTGTAACGGGAATAAAACCTGAAGCAGGACGAGCTTCATCGTCCAAACATCTCCTGCGAGGCGTAGGTCATGTAGAGGAAGCCGTCCTCATCCTGGTACTGTTTGTACACCTGAGCCATGGTGAGCGACATGCTGGCCAGCCCGCTGTTGTTGATGAGCAGGTAGAAGGCCTGGCTGGGCAGCAGCGCCATGCGGTTCCTGAGGGGAGGAGCCAGAAGGAGCCAGCATTAATGAGAGTCAGCCTG